GTGTGGGTCATCCATATCTAGTCTTGACTCTGGCTCTAGTTCTGGGTAGGCATCCAGCTAGTAGATTAGTAAGGTGTTGACCATTATCCGTAGTAACCAAAGTATCATCCATATGACTCCTGAGCTCTAGTAGATCTTCATTCTTCTTCTTCCTCCTGGAAGTGTAAACATATCATTCTTCCTCTGAAGAATCTGCCTGATGGGGTAGAGCTGAAGCAGAAAGATTACTAACAGTAGTACCCACAATAGGTTCTACAATATGTGAAGTATGAGTTGCCGCTACACCGGATACTTCTTGAAGAAGTGGAGCTGCGAGGCTCTCCTGATTATCAGTTTGAACACTATCATTTATAGGTAATAGTCCATCAGTATTGTTTTGCATGGAGTTTGTAGGTGCCAACATCGCATCACGCGCAGTAACAGTGACAGCAGTGTCATGAGGGGTCCTCAGGTGCAACAAACACCTCCTGTCTGGTAGTATCCTCCTCAGGTGGAACTAAAATGTCCACAGCTATGGGGTTAGACTCATATTTACTCACTTGAACCTTACAATATGGGGGTTTGTATTCCATGACGATTTGTTGTCAATAACCATTATGGGTTGTGTCCAGCCAGACTTCAATAACATCAAATAACATCAAGTAAAGTAATATCTAAAGTAATATCCTTTTCCACAAGTATTCTAGCCACCGAGGGTCTGGTTAGATTAAAAGTAGGCATATCTAGTTTCAAATGATCCCCAAAGATGACCCCAATAGAGTAGAGAACCTGATGGTGAAAAAAATGCAGCTTGAGACCGGATAAACTAAATCATATCGATACAGTGGGAGTTTCATGATCTGGGTCGAAATTAAGAGACCACTTGAGTAACTTCATTGATTTGCCTTTGATATTAAGATATTTCTTAGAGAAAATTCTGGTGCAGTCTTCAGCCACTTTTAGTTGGATCAACACATGTCTCATATCCATGAGTCTCATTTTTCACTTGCCTACTAGCTTATGATCATCGAAAAAAGAAAAGATATATATATATATACACATAGAAAATCTCAAAAAAAGAAAAGATGCATATAATATCAAAAAACCAAAACCAACAACATGCGCAAAATGCTAGGGACGCCCCGATTTAATCTTGCCTCTGTCTCTAGTTCTCGGAAGGGAGCAGGCTAACAAATTGGTGAGGTGCGTGCCATTACCCGAAGTAATTCAAATATCATCCATCAGATTCTTGAGCTCAAGTGGGTTTTCATACTTTTTCTTCCTCCTGGATGTGTAAACTTATCATTCCTCATTCGAGGATTGACTCATCTGATCAGTGGATTGATCCAAAGGTGGTCGGACAGGTGTAGGCTGTTGCACATCATGAACCTCATGTGTCGAAGTAACATTAACATATTGCTCAACCTGATGAGACAGTAGAGAGGCAGTAGAAATATTGCCCACCTGTAACAACAGTAATAGGTTCTAAGGTAGATGAAGTATGAAATGTCTCCCTCGCCCCCACGAAAGGAGGTTCCAAAGACGGGGAAGCTACAGCATTGTGTAGAGACTGAATGATTGACATATTGCCCGCAAGGATAGTGGCATCTTCAGGGGTATCCTTTTGATGATCAATATTGTCAATAACTAGGAGCAGATCAAGAGGAGAGGGAATCACTACCTCTGGCAGAGCACTTTGTTTATTTGGTCTGAGGTGGGTATGTAGATGGTGACATTGAGCACTGGAGTGGTCGAACATACGATAGTTCGAACAATACGAAGGGAAATACGCAATCACAATCTTTTGTCAATATCCATGGTGTTGTGTGTCTAACAAAATTTCCTGAGAAGCGATTAAAGTGATGTCTCTTTCAACAACTACTCGGGCTTCAGATGGGCGAAAAAGATTAAAAGTAGAAATGTCCGTTTTGAGTGGCTTGTCATAAGCTGAGGCAATAGAATATAATATTTTTTAGTAAGATAATGAAATTTCAGGCCAGGGAGGCGAATCCAAACCGAAATAATTAGTGGTTTCGTCTGTGGGACAAAATTCACCGACCATTTCAAAATCTTCATTGTCTGTTATCAATCCAGATTATCCTTCTAATAAATAAGCACGTGATCGTGTGTAATTCTCTTCATTATTAAGTTGAATAAGAATGTGTATTTCATCTAAAAGTATAATTCTTCACTCTCCAACAAGATGCATAAGCTCAAATTCCTTACGAATAAGCCTCATTTTAGGGTGACCATAAATAAATGTATGTATATATATAGATATATATGTATGTATGTATGTAATATATATATATATATATATATATGTATGTATACATACGTACATACATACATACATATATATCTATATTGTCTGCTAGGGTTTCGCTCCTTGATGGCGATTCCCGGCGGTGATTCATTGATTTCTAATTTCTCTCCGTCATCTCCCACGAGATGAAGTTTCACGCTCTCGCAGACGTCCTCCAGTCGACGATTCCACGATGCGCTTCAACGACGCTCGCAGCTCTTGTACTCGTGAACTCTCGACTCTCGTCCTTCACTCGACGACTCGCGTTCACCCGCAGTGGACGACTCGCATCGCCTCTCTCTCTGCCGCTCTGCCCGACAGACATTTCCTACTCGGCTCGCGGCTCTCCTTTCCAACAGTTGGCCTAGCTGCTCTGGAGATGACATCGACGTTCCGTTCCTATGTCACTACACTTGCCGGCGACTTTCCTATTCCTACTCGTGCTCCTCTTTTAAATTCAGAAATTGGTTTTCGTATAGGTAAATCCTGCAATGTACCACAATCATTTCACGAGGCTCTTGAAGGTGGTGGCAATCACACCATTATTAAAAAACTGAGAAAAAAATAGGAAGTCTGCTCTTATTCTCACAGAGATTGAAACCAGTACTCTTGTATCCTCATGGCAATTTGCTCTAGTGGAGAAATTTCTTTATGGTCACCCAAAACTTGAGATAAGGATCATTCGAAAAGAGTTTGAGGCTTTGAAGCTATTGGGCAGTTGGAATATTGGTTTACTTGACGGTCGGCACATACTGATTCAATTGTCTCATGATGTCAATTACAAAACTTGACGGTCGGCATCTTTTCTCGGAAAGTTATCAAGATCGACAACCATTATATGAAAATTTTGAAGTGGACTATTGATTTCGACCCAAAAGCAAAGTCTCCTATCATTCCAGTTTGAATAAAATTTCTGGGATTAAAATTGCATCTGTTCAACTTGAAAATTATCTACTCCTTAGCAACTACTTATGGTAAGCCTCTCAGGGTTGATAGTCCTACGTTTGCTGTTACCAGACCCTCTGTGGCTTGTGTGTTAGTTGAGAGAGATATCACTCAACCAGCTCCGGATGAGGTATGGATTGGAACCGCTCACAACGGGTATTGGCAAAATGTTGAAATCAAACCACACCCTCATTGCTCTCATTGTATTATATTTGGCCACAGCTCTACTATTTGTTATCGTTTAAATCCTCATCTAAGGTCGAATATCGCTAAAAAACAACCACTTATTATCCCTGTTGAGAAGATGCAACCCGATCCTCTTCCCAACACCGCCTGAAGAAGAATAACATACTGCAGCTACAGATCCAGTTGTACTTATACCACCCACTGGAATTGAAGAAGACTCACTTAGATGCCAAGACACGCGAGAATGCTCTTTTGATCCAATAACAGATCAGTCGGTATAATATGTAGTTGTTTCTAATGTTTAACAACCTGCACATCTCCAACACACTTTAGACCAAGATCAGGTGAGCTAATCTTCAAAAAAGGAATGACAGGTCTATTCCAGGAGGAAGAAGAAGAATGGAGGCCGACTCCAGCTCGGGAACATATTGGATGATACAGTGGTTACTACTAGCAATGGCAATCATCTTACCAATCTATTAGTTTGTTCCTTCCCTAAAATCAGAAGCAGAGGCAAACCAAATTGGGTTGCTCTCTAGCCACCCGATACTATGTATTTCAGCATTTTTAGGTTTTTTCTTTATGTCTCTAATGTTTATGTCTCTATTTTTCTTTATGTCTCTAATGTACTTTCCTATATTTCCTAATTTTGGAACCACTTGTGATTATGGTGTGGGCAGGGTGCCATGTTCGGGCCCTCCAACACATTGTATGTATCTTTCTTTCTAATTAATATATTAGCCTTTTTAAGCTTTCAAATATATATATATATATATATATATATACATACATACATACATACATACATACATACATACATCTATATATAAGTATGTATATATAAACAGGTGTATATATATTTATGTAAATGTATCTATACATGTGTATGTATATACATGTATGTATCTCTTTATATCTATAGATATATATGTATGTATGGACACACACACACAGATATACATATACATATATACATCTTTATATAAATTATATAAAGATGTATATATATATATGTATATCTGTGATATAAAGATGTATATATGTATATGTATATCTGTGTGTGTGTCCATACATACATATATATCTATAGATATAAAGAGATACATACATGTATATACATACAGATGTATAGATACATTTACATAAATGTACATATATATACATATCAATTCAAGGAAAATCTCTAAGCAATTTAATTGCAAAATTTTCTAGGGCACACCTGTTCTTCACATCAGCTTCCCTGTGACCAAGTACAGGTGCATCAGCTGTGAGGACTAATGCTTTGAAATTAGCCATCTCAGCTCTTCTAACGAGTTGTGCAACTACATTCCGGTCTTTTAAAACCTGACACTCGATACAAGTTGAATGTTGCCAAAATTGAAGGTTAATGGAATCTATGCATGCGATGCAATTTGTACTAAGAGAATGCTTACATAAAGCTGGAAAAAGCGAATTCCTGGTCCGGTTGAGGAAACTTCTTCACAACTCGAAGTAGCCAGGGTTGATAATGTCTAAAAAAGAAGAGAAAGACCATAGTTATTTCTAAAAGAAGGATGTACATGTATACCGCCCAATTCTTATGTATTTACATATCCTAAACTTTAATTTTTACATCTATGAAACCTTAACTATGCATGAAAATGTGTATTTCACCTTTTAAAAGTCAAGACAGTGGTAGTTTTTATGAGATCTGAAGATTTGTGTGGTATAAATGTAAAAAAGTAAAGTTTAGGTGTTAGATATGAAAACGCAAAAGAATTTATAGTACTCATATCTAACACCTAAACTTTAGTTTTACATCTATGCCACCTTAGCAATGCATGAAAAGATGTATTTCACCTTTAAAAGTCAAAATAATCATAGTTTTTATGTGATATTAAAGATTTGGTTGGTATAAATGTTAAAAGCAAAGTTTAGATGTTAGATATGTAAATACAAAGGAATTTGATGTCTATGTTCTTTTGAACTGCGATGAAATTCAACTCTTTATTGAGTAAGAAGGTATAATAATTAACATTTATTCAAGTTAGTACTGAAAGAGTTATATTCTCCGCTAATCAAAATTTTAATTATACGACCAGATTATTTGTGAGCTTATTAAACATTGAGGACAGGTGTATTATTAGAAAGAAGATTGAAGAAGAGCTTCCAAAATAGTTCAAATTAAATGCAAGTTCAACTTACTCGGCATACTACTAGTACATAAACTAAGCACCAAATTACACTATTGGTATTTTAATAGGTGTGTAATGGCAGTCACGGATGAGTTATAGGCCCGCATCTTTGTTGATCTACTTCAAATAGAGTTGAGGTTGAAGTTCTTGATGGAGGAGATGATGAATGTCAGGGTCGAGAGACTCGAGACCATGATTGAGTAGCTGCAACAAAAGGTATCTATGGGTGGCAAGCGTCCTATAATCAGGAGGGTGACTACCAGAACAAGAATTTTTTTTTTTTTTTTTTTTTTTTGGGGTTACTATTTATATTTAATCTACAGATACTCTTATATTGTATTATTTAATAAGATTTATTATTATGTTTATTATGATTTCACTCATTATCATTGTGTATATGCATTCTTTTATATTGTTCTGAGATGTTATGAATATGATTGTTACTTATTTCCTTTTGCAATTATATGTGTGTAAAATTTGCTTGGATAGAGCATGCATTTTTTTTGTATAATTTTCTAGTGAATCACTCATTAATATTTAGCTAGTACCAAAGACTAAAGGAAATTTCAGCCGCATAATATGTGGCACGAATGTCGGGCGCTAATTCAGTCAGTAAATTTATCAACTGAAATTTCAGTTTCAATCGGTCTTCAATTATCAACTAACATCTCGGCTGGTTATTCAATCGAAAAATTTGTCAGCTAAAATTCAGCATTTAGCCACTAGTCCGCCAATAATTTATTATCGTCGGAAACTTCTCAATCGAAAGGGTCTTTCTAACCACCGATTTTCTAGCTGACGAATTTCCGCTGTAATTCTGTTGATATGAAAATAAATGAAAAATAAACATTTTTAATCTTTGAGTTGTCTGTCGGTAATCAATAAATTTTATGCGGTGATTAAATAATAGAGATTTTTTTATCACATGATTGCAAAAATAAATAAATAAAAATATGTTTATCACACAAAATCGAGACTCATAAATATAAAATATATTTTACCAATGCAAATCATGTAAATGAGAAATTATGAATTTAGTGACACAAAACTTGGCATGCGGGTTAAAGTTCTAATTCTACTAAATTAATTTTGGTCCATAAAATAAAACTATCAAATTATTTTATTTTCCTAATCACTAAAATGATTTAATATTTTATCTTAATTAATTATATAAATATAACAAATTTATGTGGGATAAAGTTCATTATATTTATACAACTTATCACAATTAATGTCTTTAACTATTTATAAGATTTATAAACTTAATTATATAATTCACATAATTAAGGATATGGTGGCTATTTCTTAACTATCCAAATTATATAAATCACCAAGACATCAATGTTTTTATGCTCAATTGCTTAATTTTAATTATATATATTATCATACAATACGCTGATATAATCAAGCATAAAGCCAGTTTTGTTTTATCTATATAACCTCTAGTTTTGAATTAGAAGATTTAAGAAATCACAAGATGGCTCAATTTGAATGCAAATTTGGGGAAATCAATTAGTAGTCAATTATATATACATACATATATATATATATATATACACTCCAAATAATTATGTTTTGTTCTTTTTTTTTTTACCATGAATTCATAATAAGAATTGAATTTGCAACAAAATAACAAAGCAGATGTGTATGCAACCTAGCTCTAATATCAAATATAAGAAATATAAATTTGATTCAATCAAATGTCTCAAATATTGAATCAACCGAATTTATATTTCTCACATTTCAAGCATAAAGCCAAATAAAGTCAAAAGTAGATTGCAATTTTAACTTGTAGAAAAACCCATAGATGCACTTAACATATTAACCATGGCATTCTACAGTTCCCAGCACCAGAGTAATATAACATCCACTATGTTAGCCGAAGCATAAATAATAAGACAATAGAACCAAACCATAATAGTGCCAGCTGCTGATGCTGCTCTAGCTGTACCATTCTCTCCTGTAAAACAACATAAGTAAATTTACCAAAGACACAAATACTAATTTAAATGATGCAAAACTCTCACTGAGAAAATAATATCCAATTTTCTATAACCAAATCCATAGTTAAAAGATTCATGAGCAACTTAAAGTGGCTTAATGTTACACTAAGTAGGATAGAATTTGTTCTTGAACTTTCAATATTAGTTACAAGAATCAAAAACCAACAATAAACACAAAAATAATTGTTAAAAGTCAACCAAAATCATGCACTCGCACACAAAATAAGAAAATTTTGTCATTTACCTTCTGGGTGAGCCATTTTATGCATGGCAGATGGAGCAAGCATGATGGGCATATTGATCTTGTAGCCTAGAACAGTGGTAGTTAAATCAATCCTCGAGACATCAACAAGTACACGAGGACGAAACCTAGGAAATCAAGTAAAGTTGCTATATTATTAGTGCGTAAAGCATGCATGATAATAAGGAACATGTAGACACTATGTTCTAGATCAATAACATAAAGTGCATTAAACATAATAGCACATCAAGCACAATAAACTAAATAACGTAATCAATCATGCATCATAAACTAAGATGTAGTGTTGTAAAAGCCGTGCAAGCCCAATTAATATATTAAAATGTATTGCAAACATTAAGTTCTATATGAACTCATTACCCCACCCAAAAACGAAGTCTTTGATCTGCCTCTTATACACAATAAAAAGAGACGGGTTATTTTCTCCTACTCTCCCTCTTTCACCAAAAGTAGCACTTATAAGTGACATTCTATCATACGATATTTCAGGAGAAGGGAGAGAGTGAGAGAAAATAAGAGAGATGAAAAAGAAAAGAAGCAACAAAATGAGGAAGCCGATAAACCTCCCAATTTTTTGCTTCACCCTAGATTCCTCTTTCCTTACCCCTATTCTCTCTTCATCTCTCTCTCTAACCCTCTCTTTCTCTTCATCACTCCAATTTCTCTTGACGTACAAAAATAGTATATACAATACAATTGTGGTTATATAATATATAACTACGGTTAAAACTTAACATCAATAAGGTATTACCACGCTTATTTCATAAGCTACTGATATGCCAACAAGGTTAATGTGATCAATCTAATACATTAGCATCGTTGTTAACATTGTAATTGTATCATGACTAATGCACTAGCAGTTATTGAATGTTCCACCAAGATCATGAATGAATGGCATCTACTAATTAGGTTGAACAGAAGAAAAAGGCTGAAGAGAGGTATGAGACAATTGGTTCGGGCTATGAGAAAGAGAGAAGTAGAGAGGGGCAATAACATGAAATAAATCTTTTCCTGGGTCTCTCTCTCTCTCTCTCTCTCTCCAAAATAGCTATAATTGTCTGTTCTAAGAGCCTTGAGGAAACCTGGATCCCTCTGAATTTCTTCTCTTCTAAACTTTTCTCCTCCTTTGAATAGCTTCTAGATCCAACTCAATCTTTCTAGCTCTCTCCACCAACACAGAATAATCATTGATTTCAAGAGAAATCAATGATTGTCTAATCACATCTCTAAGCCCGACAATAAACTTAATTCGAAATGATTGCATGTTTCTTTATGATAAATATATTTAATGTTTACAACGCTCTTGTTATCTAAGATATTATATTTGCAACAAAGTAGTTATCCATCTTTATTGTTCATATCGCATGTCTCATTTTCTTTATCGTTTATGCTTTAATAACCATTTGTTCTTTATTGAGTCATTAGCACAGTCGCCTCTACCAAAATAGATCTTTCAGTTTTAGATTTTTTTTATTTTTGGTATTTTTCAGTATTTGTTTTTATTATTATATTTTCATTTTAGTTTGGGTAATTTTTCCCTATTGTCATGCCAAGTTTGATTCAGTAAGTTTTATACTTTTCTTTCGGTTGTATAAATGAACTATTAATTATGAAATAAATTTATATTTTCTTGTTTACTCTTATTATTATTTACATATAATCTTCCTTTGAGAATATAGAACAAGTCCAAATAATTTCATCATGCCCTGCATTGGCGGATGAACTGCCAATGGATCTGGGGTGTGATAGAATGATATCATAGTCTATATTTTATATTTAACATTCTTTGAATTTGCATTTCAAAACCTATTTCTTAGAACTGAGTGAAAAATAAGTTATTCTTGTTAGTCAGATATTTAATCATTTTTTATTATGTGTGTATTTCACTTGTTTAGAATGTCTCTGAAGAGAAGAGACGCTGCAGCTGCTCGTGTAAAAAAAAGGTTTTAGAGTTATTGTAGATGATGTATCTATTCCTAGGGACCTTCGCTCTCCTAACCAACGTCTTGTTGATCATACTCAACCCACTGAGACTATTGGAGCACTGAATCTCAAAATGACGACTCTTGTGGAGGTGGCAACAGTTGTGCAACTCAAATTGCATAAGTAGCCCAGGCTATTAAGCAAGTGTTTCGGATGGCATGAAAATACTTCCTATCTCATGAGAAGGCAAGATTTGGGTATGTTTTGAAGTTTAAGCATGAATAATCTATGGGAACATGTGAATGGAGCATGATATAGGCTTTTTCCTTTTCTTTTCTGCTTAAGATGCATGGAAAGCATGTTTAGGATCATTCTTACATGCAAATTTTTTTATATATATAATCCTGTCGTTTCTATATCTATATGCGGGAATTTGTTGCGATGCTTTGGATAATGGTTTAAGATCCTACTTATGTTATTCTGCTTTATGTTGCTTGTCCCTGTTCGAAGCATACATATTGAATGCAAATTTTTGGGTTTTGATGTTGCAAGGAGGATCTGTTTCGGCCCATATGGTGGGCCTGAGTCTAGTTCCTTTTGGATTAAATGTTAGCTGGAAAATTTTCTATGTTTTAACACATTTTGGAGGGCTCAGTCTTGGCCTCATGATAGCTGGAAATTGCATTTTTACTTAGCTTACTTGGTGTGTTCGGTTTGTTTCCTTTTGATATCACGTCTTGGCTGAAATCTTTGCTGTTTTAGCTATTTGATGGGCCCGGTTTTGTCGGTTTTGTTCCTATGTTGGAAATTATGTTGGAAATTTTTTTTTTTATGAGTTGGAAATTATTTTTGGGGCCCATATTTAGTTTATCCTGCTGCCCCTTGATAGAATACATGCAGGAAATCATGTTTATGAGATGGAAAAATGTATTTGGGAGCTCATTTCATGTTCCTATTGCTCCCCTTATGCTGCAATACATGTTGGAAATTGTTTTATGAGGTGAAAAAAAAATGTTTGGGGCTCATTTCATGCTTCCTATTTTGCCACATGCTGCCCCTTTGTTGAAATATATCCTGGAAGTTATTTTTAAATGCTGGAAATTACATTTGGGGCTCACATTTTGCTTCTCTTGCTGCCCCTTGCTGAAATATATGTTGGAAATTGTTTTTAAGAGTTGGAAATTATGTTTGAGGCTAGGTTGGCCATGTTCTTGGGCTCGGTTTAGGTTCCTTTTAATGATTTATGTTGGCTGAAATACTTTATTGTTTTGCTCCCTTTTCTTGGGCTCGGTTTGCCCTTTTCTTGGGCTCGGTTGGCTATGTGCTTGGGCTCGGGTAGGGCTCCTTTTGGTAATTTATGAAAGCTGAAGTTTTGTTGTTGTTTTGGAATATTTCTTTGAGCTTAGTTTACCCCTATGGCAGGCTTAGTTTGCCCCTCTTTGGTATTACATTTTGGCTGAAATCTCTTAACTTTTTTTTTAACTATTCATTGAATTTAACTTGACACTTTTGTTGGGTATGGCTTGGTTGGAGGTTTTCTTATCTTTTGCCCTTACCCTTGGGATTGTGTTGTGATGAATTTCTCCTTGTTATATGTGGGTGGCTGAGAGTCTAGATTGATGACTTTGGTTTGCTATCTTTGTCATAAGGATGTCCAGGTGGCTTTGTTAGCTTGGTGGTGTTGGGTTGCTGCCTTAGCCGTGAGCTTCATGTTTACTGTCTCTATAATTCTCTTCTCTTTTGACTCCTCCCCATGAGCTGGATTTGGGGCTTTGGTATGTTGCCTTTGCTGTGAGTCTAGCTTAGTGATTTGCAGTTTGTTGTCTTTGCCATAAGGATGGCTTGGTGGTTTTGTTGGCTTAGTAGACTTTGGTTTATTGCCTTACCCGTGGGCTCTCCCCTCCCTTATTGTCTTACCCGTGAGCATTAACTTATGACTTTTTAGTGGGATAAATTGGATTGGTAATTATCTCTTTCTATTGCTTTGATTACGAATATTTATATGGACAATTT